GGGACCTCAGACAGATGTTGCTGGGCAAATGTTTTCGAGAAAATCCGGACGACAGAAACAACTTGATTTGGGACTCGATCTTTTTGTGGTGTGTATTTGGTTTATTTGCTCGACCTCGATGCTTGACCTGCTTCAACTATCGAGGTCCTCCGCCCCCCGCATCCCCCGAGGCTTCCAGGTAGGATGAATTCCGGCGTTTGACTGCTACCGTCGATACAGTGAGTCGTTGACAGCTACTAGTTCGACGTCGGGAGTGCTTGCTGGTCCGTCGAAAAGTCGGAGCGACCGTAGGGGGAATCCGGAACCTACTCGCTAAAGGGAAGGTAAGAAATCGCCAAGTGGTGATCGGATGGACACCCCGAGAATCGTGGGTCAGAGGTCACGGTGGGAACACGATGGGTTCGGAGAGAAAGTGGTGCTCAGATGGTCCCTGTTCAAGGGCGGCAACGGTGCAAATGAAGGATTGTGGGAGATCGGGGGACACGATGCGTTGGAGGTGTGCACAATCGAGAAAATAGAGTTGCAGATGTGAGCTCCCGCAGATCAGCGAGCCCAGAGAATGCAGAGAGAGGAAACACCAGGCAGGAAACGATGAGGTGGTGTTTCGAGGTACGCCGCCAGATCTTGTCGCGTCGAAACAAAGAGGCACTGCCGGGTGGTGGATGGTTGGGGAATGCAGGGGGCGTGTTTCCGTCGGTCGTGGTCGTGGTCGTGGTCGTGGTTTGGTGATTATTAATGGACCCCTTCTGGGTTTATTAAAAGTACCGTCGAAATCAATGTTCGGTCTGGGATGCTCGGTGATGGTGCAGAGGGCAGCCAGCTGAGAGAGGGCAGTGGTTCAGGACACACAGTTGATTTGCTTTGCTCAGAGAGTCGCCGTCAGGGCCAACAAGGTCCAATCAGTGGAGGTTGTGGAGGTTGGGTCGGCTTAAACAACAACAAACTGCGGCGTCTGAAAAAGTGATGGAAGGGAGGATGGGACCCTAAACCATTTCCAGCCCATGACTAAGCTAGCTGTCTGTGCTGAAGAAGTCTACAGTAGGTAGAGTTACTTGACAACACTGTCCTGAATGCTCCCGGCACGCACGGTTCTTTTCTCTCTGCAGGATCCCGTCCAGTTTGCTGTAGCCATGGTTAAGTTAGCGGCTTGGTTCTGTACTGGATTCTTCACCAGAGGCCGGCACTGTTCGTTTGCGGTAAACATAAACGTGTGATGAGATTGAAAGCAAAGAAAGTACCTAAAGGTATGTACACGGTACCCACCCAAGCCAAGGTACCATTCGAGAATGTCTTGGCAAGACTTTATCTGGTGGACCCCCCGCCGTTTCCAGGGTCTTGTCCATTTGAGACCTGTGACAGGATTGATAGGATACAACGGCAACCTCAACCTCAACCCTTCAGATGGCCATCCTCCTCCAACCACGGCGCCTGTCTCCACTCTGGAAGCACTCTGTTCTCATCGTTTGAGTCAATATACGAGCTGACAAGATCGTAGAAGATGCGGTACGACTCGGGGCTCAGGTGGAGACCGTCTGGCAAGAGGTGCTCTAGATAGCCACGCTGTCCCTCTGGATACCCGAGAGGTGGGCCGTTAGGGTTGAAGGACGGCGTCTTCTTGATGGCAGTGTCCATTATGGCCTTCCAGAGATCAACCAGGGTAACACCGGCGTTCTCGGCGGCCACTTGTCTGGCAGCCTCTGAATATGACGCGCTGATCTTGGCATGCCTTGTCGCCGAAGGGTGCCCGGAAGCGAGGTCAAGCTCGGTGATACGGATCTGGTCAAGGGGCGGTGGGGTGATGAGGAAAATCTTGGGCTTGTGGGCTGTGATGGTAGGATGTGTGATGATCCGCTTCAAGTTGATCTTGTACTTGTCGAGGGGAACATGCTGGTGGTTTGTGGGCAATGGGACGCAAGCATCATTGGCCCCAAGGAGGATGAACTGGCCGCTCATGATTAGTAGGCGCCATACACGGGTTTCATCCAAGCTCAACAAACCAGGCACTCAATCTTCGGCACGCCCGGACCAGGCGGGGAGAAGACCTGAGGTAAGACGGCCAGGGCATTTGATGTGTTGTAGCCTGAGAGCCCGCGGTTGATAACATCATATCGACGGTTGACTTCTGATACGGGGGAAAAAGACAACCTTATTAGCCCTGAGAATCTCAGCTCAAGAACGAGATATTGCTACTAACTTGATTGCAGGGCAGCGTGGAAGGAGAAGCCGTCTACTAGGTCGATAGCTCCCTGAAAGATAGAATCGCCAAAGAGGACGATTTGAGGATAGGAGGCCTGGCGGGGTCACGGTTGCATCCGTTATCAGCCCTACATTCCCATACAGAGTCGATATCGACTTGGAGAACTGAAGACTTACCGCCATGGCTTGTGACGTTCAGATTGCCACTCAGCTAAGGGAGCTTAGCTCTCGCTGACTAGCAACTGGTTTTCTCTTGAATATCTCTTGGCGGACCCTGGGGTTCGGGGAGAGCAACAGAGAGAGCAGAGAGAGCAGAGAGAGCAGAGAGAGCAGAGAGAGCAGAGAGAGCAGAGAGAGCAGAGAGAGAGCAACGAGCTTCCCAGGAACGGGGACGAAAGCATCTCCCTCGTGCGAGCCGGGACCTCCTGTCCTCAAATACCCGAAGCTCCCAGGTTTCAAGTGCCAGCCACCAGGGACTAGGGGACTGAAGAAGCAGTTGCGACATCCATGGACACACGGAATCTAGAGCCGACCCACCGAGCTTTTCACTGACACCTTGCGGCTAGCCCCGCAACCCCCTTCTTCTTCGCCCCCCATCCCTTCCCCTTAAGATCCCCCAGCTTGCAACATGGGACAAAAAGCCATAGATTTCCGGACACAGTAGGCCGTGTTGCCGTGATACAAAAACAAACACGCGCCTCCCCCTCTCCTCCCCCCCTCCACCCCCCCGCGCAAGCCGCCGTAAGCCATTTGAGGGGAACAACAGATCCCAAAGAGACGGAAGCCCTGGTCAGGCCCAGCAAGCCAGCAGGCCAGCCTCCCCCCCAGGGCAGGGCCCAACCGGATGGCTGAATGGCCCGTTCAGGAATAGGTGCATGATGTCCCCATCTCACCGCATCACCGCTGGCGTCTCGGCGCTGTCCACACCGGGCCCATGGAAGGAGAACACAAAACTACTGCACAGTAAAAATGCCGATTGGCAACCCAGTCACATGGAAGAGCTCTAACCCTGGACGGGCCGCCGCGCGCAGCGGCCAATGATCGTCGTCTCGTCCAGTCATCGAATACAACGATGTTTTTTGTTTTTTTTGACGGCTCAGATTCGACCGAACCCCGCAAAGCGGTGTCGACTTGTCATCAAACTTACTGTGTAAGGCTTTGACAGAGGATGCTTGCTAGGATTTTCTCGGATCTGGTGATCCCAATGCCCCCCTCCCCATGCGGGATGTCCCCATGATATTGGGATTATGGGGACGTCTCACTGGAAAGGGTGAAAGGAAACGTTCGGAGATATTCCGCTTTTTTTCTCTTCTTCATGTCTTTTGTTCAGATTCGAGGTTCGAGATGTCCGCGGGGTAAAGTGGGGTAGGTTGCTGGGGTGCCTGGGGTTTTGTGCAGGCATGTCTCAGCTTATCGATAACAGCTGTCCCTCGAGGTACCTACCCTTTCCCCCCACGGCCATTCAAAGACGTCAACCGCCACCAATACCACCCGAACCTTCTGTGCCTCTCTGATAGATGCGAGTTATGTCCTGAATTCCATCACTTATTCCGTAACCTTTCCATATCCCCCCCCCCCTCCCCGTAACGTAACCTAGCCTTCTCTCAGTATCCCACGAATCCGAAGTTCCAGATCTGGCAACCCGCGAATATTAGACACAGCCTCCTTTGTTTTCCACGGTCGAAACCACCACCTGTACCAAACTTTTCTTTCTGCGCAAGAAATGACATTGATACGTCCAGGAGAAGGAAGACGGCAAGAGGAGGAGGCCTGCTGCACATGCGCAACCCTCTTATCCACCATCTCCTCCCGTCCGCCACCACCACAAGACGTATCATCCGAAAAGCAGCCCCTATCCGACGAAGACGAGGATGACCAACAACTCACAGGCGGAGATCGGAAACTACTACTCCACCAGCAGCATCACCGATTAACCTGTTGCGCCCGCGTAATCTGCGCTGACTGCATATCTGTGCGCTACTTCTTTTTCTTCCGCTTCATTCTTGGCATTGGACTCTCTATGTGACAGAAAAGAAAGACTAACCGATAAACCCCCTTTTGTGTGCAACAGAAAAACCCCCGCTTCCTAACCTACTGCCCTTACTGCCAAAGCTCAGGGAGATCTTTGTCGTCATCTTCTTCACCGAACAACATCACCCGCTCTCTCACACCTGTTCTCAGTGACGACACTCATCCACCCCCTTATTCCTCCCTCCATCTTCCCCCAGCTTACACACCCCTTTCATCATCATCATCACCACCTGTACCCAAATTGAAACAACCCCCTCCTCAGGAAGAAGAAGAAGAAGACATCCTCCACTTCCTCACCCCCCACGACAGCATCCCTTCCCTCTCCCTGTTATACAACCTCCCCTCCTCCCTCCTAAGATCCTACAACTCCCTCCCCACCGACTCACTCCTCCACGCCCGCCGCACCCTCCTCATACCAGCCTCCCACCTCCCCAAGGGGGCAATCTCCCATTCCCCCCGTCCCTACGAGGGAGAGGAGGAAGAGGCCCGGAAAGGGAAGATACGTCGTTGGATGGTCGCCACAAAGGAGCATGACTATGACATCGCGGTCACTTACCTCGAGGGGGCGGGGTATGACTTTCACGAGGCGGTGGGTAGATATAGCGATGATGTTAGATGGGAAAGGGAGAATCCGATGAGGAAGGGGGATGTGATGAAGCAGGGGAAGAGGAAGGTGGTGAGGGGGTTGGTGGGGGGTTTGTTGGGGGGGTAGTATCCCCTGGGGATGGGGTGGGGTGAGGGGGGTGTAAGATATGGAGTATGAGATGGGATGGATATATGAAGGGGATATATTTATGGTGGGAATGGCATGGGACAGGGGTAAGGTTACTTGGGAAGGGATATGTACACATAGTCGACGGTAGATTTTAGTGGCTTAAAGGCGTGCATGGTTGGTGGCTTGGATTGACATCTTTCGAAAAGAGCACACACTCATTTGCAAGTTTGAAGCATACTCACACAACTAAAAGGCCTTGATAAACATGCTCAATTACACTACCACAAACGCCTAAAGCCTGCCCCTTGCTCAACTCCAGACTCTTTAACAAAAAAAGCAACTCGCTTTTGGTTTTTCTGACGCTGGTGCTGACAGACATTATGGCTACCTCGAAACAAGTCTCCGCATATAGGTACGTTCCCCCACCCCCCATATAGACATCTCTAATTCCCCAGTCAGTGTACTAGAATGCAGACCTCGTACGGATGTCCTATCACCAGTTAGCACAATCCTCAAATCGTCATCAGACTTCACAAAAGAAACTCACCGAAATCTTCCTCTCAATCTCCCTCACGCTCCTGTCCAGCTCCCCAGCAATCATCTGCTTCTTGTCATTCGCCAACAGCGCAAACCTCTCGCACAGATCCCCATCAATCACCCCCTTGACGGGCACATAATACCCCCGATAAATCAAATGATCCCTCCCGGCAAGCGGCGGATCCTCGGCCCTCATGTGACTCTCCAAGCTCTGGAAGAAATCCACATCCTCCCTGCTCACAAACGGGATCAGCACCCCCACCGTCCCCTGAATCCCGCTCCAGAGCAAAACATCCTGCCCGCCCACAACAAGATTCGTCTTGGTGATCGACGTAGGAAGATCCTGAGTGTAAAAGTGCGCCATGAGAGCGGTCCGATTGGGTGCGCCGTGGAGGTAGCTCTTTGCGTGGACGAGTTGGATTTCCGAGCCGGGCTCGTCCGACTCCTGGGAGGCGCGCTCGGGAGCCCGCAAAATCCAGACGTTGCCGAATTTGTCTCCGCCGGCGACGGATTCGTAGTCGACCATGGCTGTGCAGGTCGTCCATCGGTTGATGGTGTCATCCGCCCACGCAAGGAGCTTGTTGCTTTCGGGTTTGTAGACGGCGTAGGTAATCCCCTGCTGGACATCACCGACGACGATACGGTTACCTTGCGTCTGCAACGACACGATAAGCTGAGGGGCAATCTCGGCTTGGGCCTTGCGGAGAAGCTGCTTGAGACCAAGATCATAGATTCTCAACGTCTTGCCAATGCCGGCGAGGAGACGGCCTTGGAAGGGGATGAGCGCCATGGGGGGTTCTTCAATCTTGGTCTTGTGGATGAATTCCAAGTCACGGCCATCGTCGTGGAAGCGGTAGACATGGATGTAGCCTTCGCTGAATTGGCGAGGGCTGAGAATCATGTCCTTGCCGGTACCAACGATAAGGAAGCTCTCGCCGTCTTGGCTGGCAAACGACACAACGGCAGCACTGATGGCGGCTTCGTTGTTGTCGAGGTCGACACGGTTGAGAACGCTTGGCTCATCGCTGACAGGGTCGACAATGCTGATACACGATGCCCACCTGTTCCTGGCCTTGGGATAGCCAAACTCCTCTGGCGGCAGAATGGCTGCGTCACCATTAGTATTAGACTGAGCCAGCAGCTGCGCCCGGAGCTCCGGTGGGAGAGTATTGTTGTCGGCTTCGATGGTGTAGAAGTAGGGCTGCTCGGGGTGTTTGACCAGGCGCTTTGGTGTATAGGTCAGAGGAATGGACTTTTGGATCATGTTGTCCCCGAGCTTCTCGATGGTGAAGATTCTAACTCTCCAGTTAGCAAGAAAACTACCAACAAAGTATCGAAACAAGGTATAAAACAGCTTCTTCAGAAGGAACAATTGATACGACTGGCGTCGTAATCAACCCTCATAGCAATTGCATAGGAATCCCTTTTATCATCATACAGCAGCGGAAGTAGAAAGAGATTAAAAACGTACCTGAGGAAATTGGCGTGGATACCCACCATGCCTTCCAGACACTGCTCGCTGCTAAAGTTCCATCCATACTCAAGATCTACATAGCTCAGCGGTGTCATTACGAAACCCTTGGTAATAGGGTCCGTGTAGCCCAACCATGGGCGGGAGTTCAGGGCGAGCACACATGGCCGCCCCTGCACAGAAACCTGGAAGAGCTTGGTGGGCTTGGGGCCCAAGAATTTTTGACGGGTGTCCGTAAGCTCACCAGTGACCTCGTCCAACACAGTTCGGAGGTAGACACCAGAGTGTAAGCCGATATGCAGATATAGGGTGGTGCCACCGAACGAGTCTTCCATAGACATGATGGAAAGCGATGCCGGCGCCGCTGTAAGAGCCTGGATCGACTTCATTTCGAGGGTGGATTCCGGGTCGAGGCTGAGAATGCGCACAGTGCAGTCGTCACACCCAACAGCCAAGAACGAACTCCGCCGTAAGCCTTCCGGTACCCTTCCCAAACTCAAAGACGTGACGGTACCAGACATTTCCTTCTTCTCGTCGTACTCGGCGAGAGATCCATCTGCATCCATCTCAAAGTACACAATCTCGCCCGAGCTCAGAGCAATGACGACTTGATTCTCATTGGTAGCGGCAGCCACAATCGACCGATGCTGAGGCGCTGGCCATTCATTAACACGACCTTGGACAATATGTCTAATGCCCTTGGGGTGAACCTGAATAAGACCTTCCTCGCCCAGCTGTTGGACAGCCAATGTTGGCACAGTGGTGAGGAATCCGCTGTCACTAACTTCCTCGACGGTTTCGCCAATGCTCAATACCAATGTCGCGTTGGTGAACGAAAGAACAATGTAAGCATCGTATTCGTCGTACTTTGTGAGCTTGGTCGTCCAGACTGCAGCAGGTGTGCCAGGGAGTTCCGAGGCAACAATTTCTGATACCTCCAGCCCATGCTTAAGCATACGGAAAGAGCTTCTCGCACCGTTACCACACACCGAGTAGATTTGCGGCGCGTCCTCTCCTGTCAAGTTCGCCACTTTGCAATCTATTTGAGGGTTCATCGAGTCGATGCTCTCGACTAGAGTCAGATTTTCGAGTGGGCGAGGCTGGAAGTATACCGGATTGTACGCGGCACGAGAGTCTGTTGGGAACTCCTCGCTCGAGAACTCGAGTTCCTCGTCATCATCGCCGAGCTTTTCGAATTGGTACAGAGAATGGTTGCCAAACTCGCTTGCCACAAAGAGGAAACCGCTCTTGAGAATGCACAAGCTTGTGGCTATTGGAATCGTATCAAAGTATTTGATCTTGAGTCGTTTCACCTCTCCGGTGGGGTTCCCATTGTCGTCCTCGACCATATCCAGCGTGACCTTGAAGAGATCCCCATCTTCTGTCTGCAGCAAAAAGAAAAAGGCACCTGCGCTGCCCTTGAGCTTGTGCATGACGCCCGAGACAATGGTTCGCTTTCTCTGGGGATCCTCGGTAGGACCCCGCCGTCGTGGAATTGGTACGCGGAAAGCCTCCTGATTCGAGTGCCGATAAGTAACATTTTCCTCGCCGCAGACCAGAACACCACTAGGACCATCGCTGCCGCCGGGAACCTGGAAAAGTAACGAAGAGGTTGGGTCCACCGCGTCAGACCACTTGCGAACCACATGGTTCAGACCGAGATCGAGTTCGTAGTATACAAGCTGTGCTTCTGGCTCCTGACCAGCCTGCCCAGTCGGGTCCTGGTCTGCTTCGGTGTAGTCGAGCTCCAGGGCTGCAAACACAGGGTTGGCGTATCCAACATCGAGGGCGACGAGCGAAAGCACCAAGACACCGGGCTTGTGTGCTTCCAATGGCGAGGAGATGGTGAGCTCTGCTTGGGCGTTGCGATTAAGGACGTAGACAAGCTTGTTCTTCTCGAGCGAGGCAATCAAACAGGCTCTTCCTTTGGGATCGGCGGCAAGATATTGGCCAGGTACAACACGTCGAACACCCGACTTTCCAAAGGTCTCTAGGTGGATGCGATTAAACCTGTTGGTCTTGGGCAGGTACTCGATGATAGCGATACGGCCCGAGTCTGTCGCGAGGATGATGTAGTCTAGGCTCATATGAATTTTTAGCAAAGGCTCGTCGCAAAGGCCCTCTGTGATGGATCCGAGGACGGCCGCTTCGAGTCAAGGCGGAGGATCATCATGCCGCCACAGCTGCGGAGCGGATACCGAATCACTAAGTGTCCAAGATACTGAGGTAGGGGGAAAGACAACAGTGCGACTTACCCTTGTGGCTGCCAGCAAGGCGGAAGGACGCAATGGCCCTAATAATTCCAAAGACATCCTGTGATAGAATAGTGTTGACCTTGCCCTGCCGTGGGTCTGGTTGGAGTAATGTGAGGCGAGAGCCAGAGGCGGTGATGATTTGTTGTTCTTTGGTTCCCGAGAACTGGCCCAGCAACGCTTGCGATATCGTGGTTGGCGGCTGGATCGTCAACGAGTACAGGAACATGTTAGAGGTGGTCGCCATGATTGCTCGGCGCGCAGAAAGCCGGCGCGGCTTCTTTGGGAGAAATCGACTTTGACAGACTCAGAATCAAAACTAGCGATGTTTGTGCTAGAGAAGTCGGTGTGAATATGAGGACGGACCAAATCCAGTGGCAGGCAAAAAAATATTGAGATGCAGGAAGCTGGTCAACCACGCCCCGCGCTTGCGCTTGACAGCACCGCGTTTCTCCAAGCCAAGAGTTGAGACCGTGCTCCGTCATTTCTCATACTGTGAGAGTCGCCAACGTATGGAGATTTTACACAGTGCGGCCTCTCCATGGTGTTGCTCCCATGTGGGGTCAGCTAATCTGCATTGATTGGTGAGCGCCAAGTTAACTGCCCGTCAGAGCTCTTGAACCTCCAAGAGCTCCAAAAAGTCAATCGTGAGACATCACCAAATTCCCAATGGCGCTTCCGGCAGATCTTGCGGCACGCTCAGCGCTGTCGAGAGTGTGTTCACACTGCTCAGTCTCTTTCAGGAGACAAGCCGGAGCCAGGTTACCCAATGGCCTTTTTCAGGCCTCACAACGACAGCAGCAACAACGCTCCGTCCATAGCAAATGCCCCCCTCCACGAGCTGCCGTCGATAGCAATGTCCCCAAGCCTGCTCCAACCTCCGTTACGAAGCGCTTCTCTTCTGGCTTTGCCTTTGGATCCAGTGCGCCCGCACCCACCAAGACCGAGAAGAAAAGAGTTCTGGAAGCCGATGACCTCTTCCACTCGTTCACCAACTCTCCCATTCCCGAGATCCGGAAAAGAGCGGCTTTCATGAGGCAGTATGCCCGCTGCAACCACCCCGACCACCAGCCCCATGGGAACCTGGCACCTGCCCATGTCGACTTCGAATGCCCTGACTGTGGTATTCCAGTGTCCTGCTCCAAGGAGCACTGGGCTGACGACTATGAGAAGCACCTGGAAATATGCGATACACTGAGGCAAATCAACGAGGACGACCACGATCTGCGGTCCGGCCGCTTTTTCCCCGAGTTCGAATATGCTGGGCCACAAATAGACGAAGCTCTGATCAACATGACCAACTGGGATACCTTTTTATATACCCGCTCCTTCCTCGCCATTGATGATGATAGGAGCATGAGACAGGCCACGAGGTTACTCACTTATCCCGTCACAATTGCCAGCGTGCTTCATGAGCTTAGTCCATACAATCTCAAATCTGGAGGAAGGCTGACTGCAGAGGGTTTGAAGAGCTTCAGCGGTAGGTGTCGCCCTTGGCATTGGGGATTTGATATATGAGTCATCTAACCTACTCCCAGCTCTTCGATACACTCTTCACCCACCTAAAAACGGCGGTGGCATGGACATCAAGGGCCTTCGGGTAGAGGCCCCACCTGTTCGTCTGTTCATTCTCGGTGCCCGGGCCGAGTCGTCTCTTCCTCGAGATGTTTGGGTGCAACTCGCACATGTGTTCCCGGGCTCCCGCATTCACCTGATCTTTATTGGCCCTGAGAGCATGACCAACCGAGACAACGAGTTCCCGCTGCCCCCTCGGACTGCCACCAACCCCTTCGGTGCCATCGTCGAGGACCGGGTCTGGCCTACCATGAAGATCAGCACCATCGTGGACTACTACCACACCCTCCACAAGACCGGTCACTTCTACCCTTACGACCCCTACTTTGACTGCTTCGTCATGTTTCACCCCGGTCTGGGTCACCCAGCAAGCTCCCATGAGTGGGTAGAGACGCTTCCCATGCTTCTGGAAACCAAGGCCCCCATCATTGTCACTGGCTACACGCAGGAGGATATGGAGCGCGATGTTGCGTGGGTCAACAAGACAGCTCATGGTGAATTCGACATGCTTTTGGAGCCTGGTGAGAACCGGTTCCGCAGTCTTCGGTGGGATTTGAACGATCTTGATCCCCAGGACGTCAGTGCCGGCAACTGGGGCGTCTGGGCATTCAGAGGCAAGAGGTAAGCTATTCTTGGATCTACTGATTATGACTTCCCTTTGCTAACATGTCCCGCTTCAGATATGAAACCACCCGCAAAGATTCCGAATAAGATGTTTCCAACACTCGCGACAATGATTTGAACTCTATGTGTTGTATAGTAACTCTTGTTGGACCGAGTCTGACAAAGCTGTATGTATATAAAGCTGTAACAAAAAAATGACTGCTCCAGTTCTCGGCTGTTGGTCGTGAGCGCATTTGCTGCGCACAAGCGGAACGTTATGGATGCATGGCAAGGCTGCAGCGTGTTCATACACCATGACCGGAAGGCGGTCGCATCCAGTACATGTATGTACATGCGGTAGAGCGGTAGGAAGGCTGCAGGATGCAGCAGGGGTATCTTGAGCCTCAACTCTTGTCAAACGGTTGTCAACGACATATGAATGTTTACATTCCAGCACCGGGCAACGAGTGGGAATAGGGGTCACAAAGGGGCTTTCGCTTTGATATCCCTGCATCCCCACAGGATCCACCTGACAACTCTTGAGACCAGGGATGCCGTTGAAACGAGAGTCACATGCTGTCGATGCCTTCTGTCTCAGGTTCACGATGAGTCCTGTGAAAGATGTCGTTGGCACCACACCCGTCGGCACTCTTGAATGTCTGAAGTTTTTCTCATATCTATTTCTTGTGGTGCTGTATTCTGCTAAGATACCCTGTATTTACAGTGCTGCTACAGCACTGTGCAGTGATGGAGTGACGCACTGCATCTGATGTGGGGTTTCACCGCTTGCCGTTTCGGGCCAGTGACATAAGGCGACCTGAGCTCCGATAAGCGATTGATCTGCCCACCGCCCTCCACAGCTTCAAGTCAACGACACCCACGCACCATCACCAGTCCGACTTGGAACTTGAACAAGAGCTCTGCTGGCCACCAGTCACCGAGTCGGCGAGATGCCTGTAAGCAACCATACTTCGACATGACGACCGCAGCTGCCCAGGCTCCCAGCCGCGTCCAAACACCCAACCCACCACCACCGGGGCCGGTAACGCCTCGACCCAAGCCATCGCGCACGTCGAGTCTACAGTCAGAGTCGGGGCCAACCTCCACAACAGCTTCAGCTGATGCGTCTCAGACGCCTGCCCAGTCAGGAGGAGCGGCAGCTCGACGAAGCGCCCGCCCGGCATTTCCCACCACCGACCCCCTCTCAGACAAAGCCACCGCTCTCCTGATCCGCCGCATCCTCTGCCCTCAGCATATCGAAAAGGCCAAGAGTGCGCCAACACCGATCGAGGAGCTCTTACCGCCGCTGACCAGTCGCAACGATGTGGATCTGCAGCTCTACGTCCTCATCGCCATCATCCTGAGGGAGTACATCCAGAACTGGTACAACAAGATTACGCCCGATGAGACATTCGTTGCCGAGATTGTTCAAATCATCGCACACATCACAAGAGCCCTCGAGCAGCGGCTGCGGAAAGTGGACCTGGAGAGCCTTTTATTCGACGAGATTCCAGATCTGCTCGATAAGCACATCACTGGTTGGTCTTTTTGTTCCCCGAGTCTGGAGCGAGCTGTCGGAGGCTGGAACATGAAAGAAGAAGGAGCCACAGGCGATCTCGTGTCCAATTTTGGGTCGTGCTAACGTTGGAGACATCCAGCCTACCGCATAGCCCATGATCCCATCACGCAGGCCCCCATCAGGACAAATGCTCGCGAGATCTACCACTCGCTATGTCCACTCCCCGCGCTGACACCCGTCCCCCGCCCAGAGGACCCTGAAAGCGTTGCCCAACAGGCCGAGAATGAAGTAGCGTATCGTCAACTGCTAGTTCACGCCGTCCTGGCCATCCTGCTCCCCACCGAAGACCTCGAGAATGGGTGCCTGACAGCTCTGGTTGGCCAAATATTTTCAGAGCTAATCATCGGGAACTCGGTCGCCAACAAACTATCGGAGCCGTGGATGATATTGGAGATGATCATTATTGCGACACGAACGTTGGGCAAGAGAAAAGCAATCGAGGACGAGAATCCTTCGGGGCGGCCGGGCAAGGGCTCCTCGGCTGGTCGCCGCGGCCTCTCTTCGGTGCAGGGCTTGTTTTGGATGGTGGTGCACTGGTGCTTCCTCGCGACCTCATTCATCAGATTGGCCTTCATGGTCCTCATGACGACCCGTTCTCTGCCGCCTCGAAGCTCTCACAGCACGGCCCAGCGCAAGAATGTGGTTCAACACGAGGTCGGACTGGATTCTGGACCACTCAAAATGCCCGTGTTGGCCTTCAGATGCTGGTCGGCAATATCGAATCTGATCGAGATGGATGTGCGGATGCCATGGCTCTGCGGCGCATTATCGATGGTGCAGTGGGTTACCATGACGGGACCAGGACGAATCGCGGCCGTGGATGGCAAGCTTGACAGGTAGGTGGCTTCATGTTTACTTAGCATTTCTGATATATCCCCACCCCCTTTTTGCTGTTCGCCGTCGCACTGCATGAGCAGAAAGTCACTGGACTTGAAGAAGTGCCGAGTCCGGCACGAATCATGATGCTTCCTGGCGAGTTGCAAGTGCAACATGTTTAGGTCTCGAGGGGTCTTGAGGAGTGTCACTTGGGCCGTTGCCTGTGATGTCGTCGGATGTCACTGGACGCATTGTGCAGCTGTGCTCCGGCCAATGCCCAGCTGGAGCAAGGCTTCGGGGTAAAAGCTGGTGCTGCAGTGGAACGCACGCTTCCCACATGTCCTGCGGCCGAATCGGCGACCCGCATACGGCGCAGTTCTGTCGTTCTTGTTCCTCTTGGGGCCTGCATCTGGTGCCCCCAACCCATTGGACCAATCGCGGCGCCGCACCGCCTTGGCTGCGTCCGATTGCTCGAGAAGGGCTTCTGTCAGGCTTTTGACCATCCATCAACGAGTCTCCTCTACGCGCCCGGGCTGGAGCAACGGGACAGGGATCGGGCCACCCTCTTCCAAGCCATCAATCATGTCGATTGGACACTTCTCTATCGCACCTCACTTCCACGCCGAGGACGCCGAGCACCCCGACTTGCTTCACTCACCGCTGGCTTCCTTTGCGCTTCGCACCGCCCCACAGCGTGCCGTCTTCGTCGACGTTGTTGCTCGACGACAGGCAGAGATCGTCGCGATGAGGCTTGAACCTTCTCGGATGGTGTCTCGGCTGTCAAACCGAATGACAGATCATATATCCCCTCTTAGGTTGTCTTACAACCCGAGCTAGGGGAAACATGAAGGGGGCGCATGTGCAAAGGAACCCTGGAAGAGCATCGAGTCACCTTGTTACGCCTGTCGAGATGTGATCTTACCTGGACGGCATGACGTGAGCCAGGAAAAAGGAAGTCAAAGACAGCTTAGCCATGGGGTGCTCCAAGCGCAATCATCAATGGTCCCCCCTCTCCTCTCCTCCGACCCAAGTCCGATGGTCCATTGGCACCCATGCTCAGGACCCCCGTCAGCGAAGTGTGTCTCCCCACCTTGTGCCTCACCCCGGTCGTTTCTCCCCACACATTCAGCAAGAAGCTTTGGCCGCCTTTGGTCTCCCAACTGCAGCAGCCTACTGGGCCGCATCAACCGGGGTTGAGATGGTGGTGGTGGTGGTGGTGGTTGTGGGCTGGCTGGCTGGGTTCATTGCTGAGTATCGAGACTGCCGCGGTTCCCAAGTCGAAAATCCCTTTGGCTTCCCTCTGGACGTTTTACCGGGTTACGTTGGGGTCGTTTTGTGATCATCTGAACTTTTGACACACAGACACACACCACACAGAGTTGTGTGTGTGTTCCGGCCTGACCTTTTTCTCTCCGAGTTGGTGCTTGAATGTCACCTTCCACAGCACTGGCTGATCAAGTTTGGGGGGGGGGACCAGTGTCCAGTCCCTGCTACACACCATGACCACCACCCATCCTACCACACCTTTTACCTACATCCTTCTATCTGCTTCTTATTGTTCCCCCACGCGAAAGAAAACGGAAATGAAACACCACACGGGCGGGCTGTCTCACATTATGGGATCATATCATTTGACCCCCAATTTCTGATTTATTTCCTGTTGTGGTATATTTTTCTGACAGTCTGATTTACAGGTTGCTATCGCACGGTATCCACCAGTACATACTCAACCAAGACACTGGACCATTGGCGCTCCCCCCACTTTTGCGCAACGTGCGCGGGGCGCTCTTTCCTGGTAATGCGCCAGGGAAGGGGACGTTGGTTGCTCCAGAAGGGGAGGAGGGGTTGAGAGTGTTGAAGAGGAGGTGCGCTAGGGGGTTATGGGGGCTGTTGGGGGGGAATGTTGCCAAAATCTACTTTGGGCTTTCACCGTTCAGCGGTGGTGCTGCTGCTGCTGCTAAGAAAACTACACTGCAAAAGGAAAAGGGAGATGTGTCCTCTGAGGGGAGCTCACCTTCTTCGTCAGGGGAGGACGGCAGCGGGAAAAAGAAAGCAGCGAGGTTTGATGATGATCTTGTTAGTAGTAGTAGTAGTAGTACGCAGGCTAGGGAAGGAACGGACCGCGGCCACGGCCACAGCCAACACCAACGACACCACCGCAAAAAGGCTAACAAGGATGATGCTAGCCGTCGGGGGCGCCGGAGGACAACAAAAAGTAAGGCTGCAACACCAACGACGGTGTCTGCTGATGAAGAAGAAGCGACGATGACACCAGAAGAAGAGGAGATTTTCTCTGAAATCGAGAGAGGGATCCTGGACGTCTTTTCTGACGCCTACTGCAACAAGCATTTGGTTTACGGCCTTGTCGAGCTGGTACTGGTGAGGTTGATGCCCGAGATTGGGGAGAGGGGGGTGCTGGAGCTGTGGGCGGAAAGGGGGGTTGATTGTACTTAGGTTAGTGAATGTTTTGGTAGTAAAGTAGTTGAATGTATTCACGAATCATTCATTATCAATGATTACTAAAATTTCGAGCTGCAAAGAAAAATGGTATAATATATTCAGGTTTGACACAGGAGGTGGGGGGGGGTTTTAGAACTAGCCGTTCCACTGGGCAAAAAAAGAGAAACACACAGCTTCAGCTGTCAGACACAACACAACCACCGCAAAGAAAATCCAGAATCAACATCCATAAAGAGCGTATAACAGTCAAACTGTCTCCATATTCCAGAGGACAGTGTGGCAGTGTGGTGTGTGAAAAATAAACCAAAAAGAAAAGGGTTGATTCTCGAAATTTCCTCTGAATGGGCGTGGTCCTATGCTGTCTCTTTTCCCCCTTTCTGCTTCCCCTCTCAACATGCTTCCTGATTGTGTGATTCTGTCTGTTTCTCTCCTCCCAATATTGTGCATTCCATTCCCTAATGAAATCACCCAAGGTAAAAAAAAATAAAAAATGAAATCCATCCACTATGTCAAGAATCACCCCAATCTTGAGCCCATCTCAACCGTCCAATATCCTCCTCCAGCCCGCCCTTACCTCCCCAATTATGAAGCAAAAACAAAAACAAAAACAATAAACACACTTTCATTTCCATCCACTCATTCCATCGCCAACCCCCAGTAGGCCCTTGCGGACCATGTCCATCAACCTTTTATATTCTTTTCGAAAACTTTCGGTGCTTGAAAATATGCGACTGTTCGTCCATTTGTTCGTTCGATGCGTGTTCGGTCGGTCGATCGCTCCCCCTCTCCCTCTGCCCGTGTGTGTGTGTGTGAGAGAGAGAGAGAAAAAAAATTCAAAAACAAGTCCGAAGAGAAACCATGCTGATAGTAATTGTACAGAGTCAAATGAAATAGGGTAGTCGGAAGCCAATCAACTAGAACAAAACCGAACGAGAAAAGACCAGATGGAAATGACAACAAGAAAAAGATGCGAGAGTCGGTTTTGGTGACCCTCGCTTTTCGCGTGAGCGTATAGTCTTCCGGTGACGGTGACAGTATAGTGGTATTCAGCAACGCCAAAAAGGGGTATATAAAGTGTCGATGTATCGAAGAAGAAGGTGGGTATGTGGTATGTGAGTGTGTGGTTTTCCGAAGTGTTGTTCGTTTGTGTTTTTCGCTGCCCTTTCCAAAAATTCCGTCAGGAGGAAAGCATCCTCCTGTGAGATCCCAACTCCTATCCCCTGGTGACTTCAAAAGCAATGTTGCCTGCCGACTCCACTTCCTCCTCCGCCAGACACCTTAAATAGCACCAACAAAACACCATGGAATGCTGAAAGAAATGAAGAAGAGCGAATGGGTATGTATCAGGCGGTAGTTGTCGGTTCCAGCTTGATAGAGGTCGTGTTCATCATCTCACTGTCGCCTTCGGGTATGCGCGAGAGTCCTCCCATGCCATGGGCCTTTGCTAGCTGCATTTGGTGGATACGTAGCTTTTCGGTAAGCTTGAGCAGAGTCATGTACTCGGAATGGTCAGCAAATCCACCAGAGTTGGTGATAAAAGACAGAAGAGTATCCGCTGCTCTTCTTGCATCCTCTTGAGTGGGTGAGCTGGGAGACGAGGGATTCGCCGTAACTGGAGTCGTTGAAGATCTCCCACCAAGGCTCTGGTTGCTGGTGCTGTGACGGAGCTGAGGTAAAATCGCCTGATCGATACTGAAATGCCCACCTGACGGGTTGGCGGATGGCGGCTCCAGTGCCGAAGATGGTGCGGTAGATGAGACATGATACTTTGGCGTCAGGGGCTCCGTGTTCTGAGACTGGTTCATGTATTCCAGGTCCAGCGTCGGAAATGTCTGGCTTCGCGGGCGTTGGAAACCTCCACCTGGTGCTCCGGGAGGCGGAAATCCGCCAGTATTGGGATCCGGCGAGAAACCAAACGAAGCTGCAGGACTGAGAGCGCTCCCAGAAAAGGAAGAGTTGGCATGGTCGGTGTAAGCACTGTTTAGCGATGCATTGCTCTGCGTATTTGTGTGCTTGTAGGCATTGTCGGTCGTAAAGTCCATGAAACTGTTCATGCTTTCCTTTTCTTCGTCGCTCTTGTTTGCTGACAAGGGTGATGGTGACAGGTGGCCGGCTGGAGACGCTGGGGAAATGGCGCTTGATGGCTGGGAAGCACTCAACGCTGGCGAGTGGCGTCTACTGTCCAAAATGTTGGTTTCTGACGCCCGGCGCATCAGTCTCCCGGGGCCCATGCCATGCTTGAGCATGAACTTTTCCAGCCAAGCCGAGCTGTTGTGCTCCGTAAAGGAGTCACCACCGCCGACCATAGAAAACGACTGGGCCTTCTCCTTGACCTCTTCGGTAGTCAGAGTTTTGCCTTCCTTTCGAGCATTACGAAGGAAAGCCGTCAGCGCCTTTTCAATGTCTGCTCCCTTTCCTTTGCCACGCTTGATAGGTGAACTGCTCCGATCCTCCGAGTTCAGGTATTTGTCCTTGTGTCTCAGGACCTTGGAGACGGTACTGTGAGCAGTGTTAGAGGAAAACATGCACGGGAACATCGCATCACAACGAGGGGGTCCATCAATTCCTACCTCCTCTCCACGCCAAAGCGCTGGCCGATGTCAGTCTGCTTCGCGTTGGGGTGGTCCTTGGCATACTGGCACATGGCGCGGCGGTCATCGTCCGTCAAGGTCTTTCTCGGTTGGGAGGTGGTGGTCTGAATCGCTGGAAGCTTCGTCGTCTTGAGCGGTGTAGTGATGGGAGGTATGGCGATCGGAGGGGCCGAGTGAGGGCTGTAGTTGTTTGGGTTTGTCAACATACTCGGCCAGGTAGGCGTCGGTTGATGATGAGGCATCATGAGCATTGGTAGCTGTGTGTGAGAGGCATGCTGTTGGTGCATGGAATGAGGAGGCGGTGGTGGTGGCATCCTGTTCAAATTTTCCGACGGTAGCCCGTGAGTGATGGGCGGGATGGACGAGTAGCCATAGTTCCCTCCATAGTCGGGCATGGTGGTTTGATGATGGTGGTGATACGAATTCATGTCGACCCAACTGTCGTTGCCATATGTGTTGTTATCGTGTGCTAAGTGACTTTCCTGGTCCATGCCCGTCGAGGCGATGATCTGGTTGTGCATTCTGACAGAACAGGCTTCGTCCAACAGAGACGAAACCAGACGGGGGCGCAGGTCAAGTCAAGGCAAGCAGAAACCACTGGCTCAGTGGGAGCGAATCACTCAGTTGATGGCAACGGGGTGGTGACTAGCTGGTGTGGGGATCAGTCCGCCCAGGAAAGGATGCGCAAGACAGACACTCTCAGGAGAAGTACATGCATGATACGGGGGGCCGAGGACAGCAATTGGTTCCTGAGGGGGCGTGCAGCGGCCTGGCCTGGGGAAGGTCGCAAGAGGCTTGGTGTGGAGGCCGGAAGTGCAGTGGTGTTGCACTTTCACGAAGTCTTAGTTGGGTAGCTCCTGCAGAGGTGTTGGGAGGGTGGTCGTTCGGCAGGTCTCTTGGTCAAGCAGAGCGCGGGTCGAGGTGGATGCAGACCCGGGACTTGGACGGGGACAGCACGGGGTGGAGTGCAGGGCGAAAAGGGGGCGGAAAGAAGCTTGTATGGTGAGTTAGTTAACCCGTAGCCGCCGTTGAAGATGTTTTTCCCTCTTCTCTCTCTCTCTCACTCTCTATCCGCAGACCTTGGCGTACAGAGCAGTCGTCGGACAGAACTGCTGGCGGGATATGAACGGGTGGTGTGCCCTACCGGTCCGACAGAGGTCCCCAAAGCGTGCAGAGGTCAGGCCGAGCCGGTGTCGAGGACATACGGGTAGAACAAGCGGAAGAAGGGTGACTGGCGTGCAGCAGCAAACAAGAGAGATCTACCAGTCGCAAGTCGACAGTCGGCTGCAGAGCTGGCGCCGCAAATGCAGTTCAACCTGTGGGACTGGGACAAGATAAGTTCAGGACGCGCAAAAGACAAGGCAAGCGGCCGAGGGGACCACGCTTGGGCGGCATATGTAGGTACTTGTACTATGTACGCGAAGGAACCGTCTCTTGTATCTCCCGGCAGGGGTCCAGGGCGAGCTTGGTTCGGATTGGGGGAGCACGGGAGGGGGGTCGACTGGGGAGAACGGCGCTCGCTGGAGCAGCCGGGGTGGTCCGTCGTGAGTGTCATTCAGCAAAGAGACATATGGTGTTAATCATTGCTCTACTAGCTAGTGTAGCAACTTTAGCTAGCGGATAGTGAGCGGCTCGCGAGGGAGATGCCGACGAATTCCAAGTCGCTGATGGGCCATGGAGCTGCTGAGACCAAGCCCGAGTGAGCACAGTGGGAGGAGAAGGAGGGATCATGCCCACAGTTAGCGTCGTCAGATGGGACCAGAGAGCGAAAAGGACCTCACTGATGAGCAAGGCAAGGTCAGTGAGAGGATGAGAGGTACCTTGCCAGGCCAGGCCGGGTTGTTGAGGAAAATGCACGGTACGTACCGCGCACCATGGGAAGACATGGGGACATGGGCCCTTGTCCCCGTGGACCAGGGGGCCAGGGGGGGGGGGGGGCAGCGAGGTGAGCGAGAAAAAGAGAGAGAGGCCGCGGGCAACTGATGAGGGAAAAAGATGGAGGGAAAAAAGCAACAGCCGTAGACATAGGAAAAACTAGGAGAGAGGAAGAAGAGGGGAGGCTTGGCTGACGCCGTTAACACGCTCAGGCTGTCTCTGGCGAAACGCGGTGGCTGCTGTTGAAGTCCTGCTTGTTTCTTTTCGCCGATGATGAATTTACCTGGTAGTTGCAAGGCAGTTTGCTGGAAAAGCCATGTGTTGAGTTGTTCCTGCCTGTTGGGTCAGGGCAGGTCAGTTCTGCCTTCCTGGTGGAGGTATATCAGGGCCTGTCCGGCCTGGAAAGAACGAAACTTGTCAATGACCGTGGCAGGTGCCCGCATGGCTGGCGAGGATGGCAATTGCAATGCTGCCTTCCCTCGCCCATTCAATATTTTCCTATCCAATATTCAATCCAGGGTATCCGATGCACAGACCCCATTGAAATGCCGGAATGCATTTCAGGCATTGCACAACCTCACCTGCTGCTTGGGCTTCCAGGTTGACAGTCAGCCAGGTAACACTCCAACCTCGGCCAGCTGCAGACGGAGGCGTTTCCAGGTTCCTGCACCTCTCTCGATCCATCTCGTTATTCGTTATTCGCTGTTATCTCGTTTCGACAGACCATGGGCAATTGGTCAACAAATAGTACCGGGCCAAGTGCGAATCATCAGCTGCCTTCCCGTGTCTGCAACGAGACATCATCTCGAAAGAGCTTCAGAGCTTCAAGGGGACAGGGCAAGGGTCCCGCCTCCACAAGGTGCGGTCGCTTAACTGGCCCGCTGTGCCCGCTGTGCCTGTCAGGCCCTGTCAGAATGGAACCAGCTTAGTGCACCTGCTGCTCTCGCCAGCATCCATCAAGGTGCCACAGGAGAGGTCTCACAGAGTCGAACAGACAGTCTCACAGGGCCCTTCTGGCAGCACCACAGCAGCTTGCCAAATGCGATCGACCGCCAGAAAGAGACGTTCCATGCTCGATACTCGATCATTCTAGTGGGTGTCGGCCCGCAAACCGCACCACCGCGAGACACAGCTCAGAGACATCGTGCCGCTGGTCTGCTGGTCTGCCCAAGGACGACAATGCGATTGTCATTTGTCAATTCTTGCTAGCGCAGCCATCATCTGGGATCGGCTCGATCATGGCTTGAGAGCTGCTCGCTGCCTCATCTGGGATTGAGATGGACACGACTCTCCCCGCTCGTCGCCAGGACCCCCAGCCAGCGCGCCGTGACACAGCACTACAGGTGTCAGGGGGTGCTTCCGGAAGCAAAGACGTCGACCTTCCGATGTTTCTGCTGGGGAGCTCACGCTTCATCGACGCTCCATATCGATGGGGCTCATGAAATTGTCCACAAGTCTTGAGAGAAGATGTGCGCTCTTTTTTTTTTTCCGTCAGAGCGCGAGACATTCACGATAGAGCTCGTGGCCCATGAAAGGAACACCGGGCAGTATCCTCCGGTCTGGTGTGTGTGTGAAGCACCACCACACTCCAAGAAATGCAACATAGGGTCAGCTAGACAATAGCAGCATAACGCCTTCGACGCCTCAAGTTCTCTCATCCGATAATCAAAGAATCTCGGGATCGGCTACATTGCCAAAAGCAAATAGAGGGGGCCAAACGAAAAGTAAGCTCAGCTCCAGATACAGCCCTTGAATTGGCCTCGAATTGCCAATGTCACGCCAGATGAGATATCGAGCATCCGTACACTCTAAGAAACCCGAACGGCGACGAGCCGCGCCAAGCTCGACAAAGGACCTCAAAAGACACAAAAGCTTTCTTTTCCTGGTTGTGGTTGCGGTCGGAGACTGTGGAGTTGCAATCATCGTTATCTTCCAAGCGATCTGGGTTACAGTGCCCTCTTCACCAGCTCGCCCGTTCCTCACAGACAAAAGGCACGGGGTCTGGGGCAACGTCGGCCACCTGCGGCCACCACTCGACCTCTCGGGACCTCTTTTGTCCAACGGCGATGATCAGAGAGGCAGGTCAGGATTATCATTGGGTGTATTTTCCGGCTCGATGCGGGTTGCACGCCGCCGCCATTGGGCAGAAAATCATCCCCACGGTGAGGTCCAAGCGTGAGGCCGGCCTGGCTTCCCACTGGTCAACAAGTCGTCAATCCTCAACAGTCCCATTGACAGATGGCTGGCCAAGAAGACATGGGAGGGAAGCATTTTTTTTCAAGTGGGAAACTGCTTTGGGCCTAGCGTGACTCTGGACCTCACAATCAAGCTGGGCAAGAAGAGGAAAAGGCTCCATGTTGCCGTCTCAATGTGGCGGTGCGGACGGAGGAGGAGCGTGAGACACCATCAAGACCTCCGACGGTTATCATCCTGAGGAACAACACCTTCGTCTGTGCCAAGAGAAGCGCTCTCTGATCTTGGCGCAGGGGTTGCGGTTCGGCTCTGCTCACATGATGAGGTCGTCGACGTACATGAGCCGATGGGTAACAGATCTTTTATTTGCTGGGTGCTCTCCCGGATGGCTTCTCGGGGACCAATTGACCGCAAAACTCTCACAAGACTCCATCGTCGGCTTCAAGTGAAGGACGACAGGTCAACCACTGGGCATTGACGGTGCCATGCTTGGCGATCAACGGCACTACGGAGGCCCGCAAGCTGCCGCTCTGTGATCCACAGCTTAAGCCAAAAGAGAGATCTTGGTCCACTGTGGACGGACACCAAGTGGGCTCCTGTGGAGGGGTTGTGGTTTGTTTTGACGGAGAGCAAAATGAGGGGTGAAGATGGATCGCGGCATGTTCGGACCTGGAGAAGAGAGATCAAACAATGCACCTTGAACCCCCACCAACACGCTCAGCCCACTGAGAGCAATGAGCACATTCTCGCATCTGATCGTGGACGGTGGGCAAAAGATGCTCCCGTATTTGGCAGCCCCTGTTCCCTTTCGGGCCTCCTGAGAACACCACCCGAAGCAGCGTTTCCCAGCATGTGGGTTGCATTGTGCGAGGGGCAACACGATCATGGTATCAAGGCCGGCAAGAAGGAACGTCTGTGCAAACCACGTTGCCATGCTTTCTGACACGCTTGGGCCTAGGAACCGGCGATGCCTCAGTCCTGTCGAGGGAACACCAGCAGCAGAGACTCTAACAGCCCCGCATAGCAACATGGAGCCGTGCCTTGTTATCTACCTTATTACCGCGGTGATACCCACGTGCTCACCCATCTACCGGATCCTCTCTCTGGTAGGAATGGTGTGTATACAATGAGCAAATGGACCAAGGGTGGTCGGCGGCAAGAGCAGTTTCGTGAGAGGGTCACCAAGGGGCTACCCATAGTGGGTTTTTGCGGATCCAGCGGCGTAGTGGTAACAACAGCTATCAGACACCACCAACCACCAAGAAATCTGGATATGTCAGCACACACACACACAAGCAAGCAAGTGTCAAAACGGTCGTTCAAAACAAAAAAGGAAGAACCGGGGCTTCGGAAGAAGACGTCGGACCCTCCCACTCGCAGATCACCCGGCCCTGCTAACCAAGTTCTTTCATCATGCACGAAAGCTCGCTTTTCTTGTCAAGGTCCCGTGGTCTGTTGATGATGCTTGCTGAACCTTGAAGACACTAAAAACCCCAGACTATTCCCGGACAAGGAACCTGTGGTCAGCCCTTCCTTCCTCGCTTGTTGGTTTTTTGGGAGGAGCCGTAAGGCGATGGGGAAAGTCCACGAGCAAGGAAGAAGCACCACCGTATTTTCGTCTGAACTTGTGAGGTCTTGGCCGCATGCTGTATACCGCCCTTTTCCTTACTACCTCGATGCAGGTCAGCCGAGAGACGGAAGTAGGGGGTTTCGTGCGTTTTTTTGCTTGTTGATGACGATGCGTGTGTACAGTATGGTTGCTACTCTGCCACCAAGCTTTTTCGTACGGCTGCTGATGCGTATTTATAAGACGGGTATGCTAACAACAAGGGGGGAATGATAACACTGGAATTGATATTGGTAAACCAAGTTGCCACTTCTGCAACAGGTGTTCGGGATGCTATCTTTGGGCAAAGGGAGTGGGTTAGCGTCATGCATAGAAGGGGGGGTTTTATATGTATGTTTTCGTACACTGTACAGAGGTTGCAATGAGGCGCTATATCGTTTGCTCCAAAGGCAGATCCAGGAATGGGTTTATTACGGGTATGATTTTGTTTCTTTTCTTTTTTTCTCTTCTGGCATTTTCGGTGCTGATGGTGGTGCGGCTACTGCTGCCAAATTGATGCAAGGGGAGGGCGTAAGCAGGTGTGTTGATTTGTGTTGGTTTTGGGGGGAGGGAGCTAACCAAGTCTAGAACAGACCAACGGGTTATAACATGAGATGCTACACAAAATACCAGAGATGGAGGGGGGGAAGTTCGGGTTGGGGGGTGGTTTAGCTGGATTAGGTGATCAGAACCCGAGGATTACTTTTGTAGACGAGAGAGGGCTTGAAACAGACGAGATGGGGGTGGTGGTACAATGCTTTTGGTTCTTGGGTGAGGTGATTGATACCGACCCCTATTTCTATTCTCTTTATGTACGACATATTTTTGGCATCACTTGGCGGTTATTGAAGGGCGAAGAAAAGGGGTTTTGGAGAGGGCAAGTATCACAGTTCTGTTACCAACGGACCGACTGGCGTGGCGAATTGGGCAGGACAGAAGAGCAGAGCGGGCGGGATGTACGGCGCGGGCACAGCAGCTTTTGAGAGAGGCCGAGAGAGAGAGAGAGAGAGAGAGAGAGCAAACACGAAACAACGGAACTGAATTCCGATTGTGTTGGTTAGGCCCGGATGGGGTTGGACAAGTGGACGGGTAGACGGACGGACGGACGCAACGTGCCAGTGCATATACAGGTAAGTAAGGTATGCGCTGACACAAAGTGATAGTGTGCGGTGGTAGGAGTGATGGAATATAAGGTGGGTGAGGCTCAAGTATGTGAAGGCGGGTTTGGGAGCTTCGTGAATGTTAGGGAGGCTTGTGTTGAGCTGGAAACTGACTCGACCGGCCACTGTCGCTCGCAACCATGGGAGACAAGCCAAGGGAAGGTTAAAAGGTCATACATGTCGAAAATGCCGAAGACCAGGTGCCTACAAAAAGCTTGTATCTAAAACCAACTCAAACCAGACCAAACCGGACTACAGTAGGTACTTGAACAGGTATTGACAGCATCTATCTTCACGGCATGATACGATAACAAATATCATCCCAAACCAGAGCAAAATATCGTTCTTGGGCTTCGTTATAATCAGTAGTCATTCTCCGTGTTGCTCCTCCTTTCGTTCATCCTCATCTCAGATTAAAAAGGCAACTGCTCCAGAAACACTTATCATCTCAAATGCCTAAAGAAGTTGCACAACCAAGTTGTAACTCGACGCCATCGACAGTGATGCAGACCCTACCAGCCACACATTCAAGAAAGAGAGCAGATGGAAAAGAGCATAACGCCCACCGCAATGTTCCGGATAGAACAGGCATGAGTCAAATTTAGGTACACAGGCAAGCTCCAGTTCATTCCCGCGTCCCCTTGTCCCGTTTATCCTCCCTCACATCAGCGACACTAGAGTCAGACGTCGAAGCAAACAAATGCCCCATCCTACTATGAGAAGGGATGTGATATCTCATCCCACGAGAAAAAAGCTTCTTGTTATATCTCCCCGGTGCCATGGTATTCTTCGAGGCTCAAATAACGGGGTAGCAAGCTACAAAAAAAAGAACAAAACTCCAACACTTCATGCCCCCGCTGATTTCAAGCTTACCAACTCTCTCACAAAGAACACACAATCTTATAATGCCCGAGATATACATGCTTGTACCTTCTCAGAGTTTATCATCACGACTTTCGGAGCCCTCACTGGCCAAGACGCGCATAGCAGCCCAAACTGAGAAACAACTTCACGACCCAAAAACGAAGTTATTCCAATTTTGAAAATAGAAGCGATAGAGAGACATGTCTAGTTTTAAGTCCCATACAAGATATCAACTTTAAACCAGGACTCGCACTACTCTTCTTATTACCCACCGCCCCTTGGAACCCCCAACCGCCCGTGACTCTTTAACACCACACATGTAGCTCAACCATAGGTAACTCGCCGTAGCAATCTCAGTAGAGCAAGGGAGAGAAATTCATGTACAAAATATCAAGACAAATAACCACCGCCCCTTCCCCACGACCCCCTCTCTCGGCCGAGATGTTACCCAACACCAAGGTACATACTCCATCACGCCCCATTTAAACCCCCATGTCTTCCAGCCCTCTCACCACTACCCACCCACCCACTTGACCAAAACTCCCTACCAGTTTGAACCGAAGTCGGAAGAGGATCCTTGCGTGTTCGGTAGGTAGTTTTGACTCGATATACTTGTATATCTCACTTACCTAGCTTTTTACGGAGCTTAGCTATTAAACTGAGATTTTCTCTCGAATATGTACGGTGCATAAATGCGAGATTTAGAGGGTCCCGAACCCGTACCGGGGTGAATGAATGAATGAATTCCAAACAATTCTCGTTCTGACTTCTTTCAGATAGGTATGTGGCTAAAAAGGTATACAAAACCCCCGGGGGATAACACACAAAGATTCTGGTGGGCGCCCGAGTTTGAACTAAATCGATAAAATGGACAAGGAGGTTCAAACCGTTGAACAGCCCTTGAGTGTAAGACACCGACCGAAACAAGGTCTTCGGCTGTCAATTTTTGTTGTTCATGTGCTTCTTGGTGATGACTGATTTCAGCCGTCAAGTTGATATGCTTCTGAAGCAAGGTAGGTAGGTATCATCAACGTTTCATATACACACAAAAAGTACATGATATATAACATCCTCCAGCTCATATCCCCACTTCTAGCTCCAAAAGGTCATTCTCGTTTTTCCCAATTCCATATCTTTTGCCGGTACAGCTAAGTACCTTCTGTACCCCCAAAACGCCGCTAAAAAGTCCCATGTCCCCCCTCCCTTACCTCATTCGCAACCATTCCTCCCCCCTCCACGTGCCTGGGTTGGGTTTGTTTGCCATGTCTCTCTCTCTCTCTCTCTCTCTCTCTCTCTCTCTCTCTCTCTCTCTCTCTCTGCAAGGGATACAAGCCAGCCACAGACGCAAACTGAACATAGCAGCTGTCATCTCTCCCTTGTGGCATTGTCGCTTCTTCAGCCCTCCCTGCCGAGTTCTATAACCCCCCATCATACCCCAACTCCCGCGGCGTCCCATGAGCCCGTTCGTTCTGCCAAAAAACAAAGCCGGCTCGAAGCTGATAGCGCTTGCGAAGGGCTACTTTACCGCTTGATAATAGTAACAATATCCTCATCCGCCAACTCGTGCGACAACCCCACCCTTTGCGGCTGGTGCTTCACCGACTTGCCGTACACAATCGCCACCTTGAACTGCTCCAAGATGCTCTTGTGGATCGTGTTGCAGAAATCCTCCACGGTGCACTTGTTGGACCGGAGCACAACCGGCGCGTCGTAGTCGGGCATGCGGCCCTTGGGCTTGGTGTAGACGCGGACGAGCTTGAGTTTTTCCCAGCTGTTGTGGAGTTAGGTTAGCCACCCAGTTACACAAGAGTTGAGTTCGACAAGGAAAAAACATACGCAGCCTCCATCAGCTCATCAATATTCCACCCGTGCTCCGAGCTGATGGGCACAGAGTTGGGAATCCGGTACAGCAGGTCCAACTCCTCAATGCTGATGCTGTCGATCTTGTTGAGCACGTAAATGACAGGAATGTAACTTCTGCTCTTGGCCTCGAGAATATCGATCAAGTCGTCGATGGTGGCATCGCAGCGGATAGCAATATCAGCCGAGCTGATCTTGTACTCGCTCATCACAGCCCTGATCTCATCGTTATCAATATGCGTCAACGGCACCGTGCTCGTGATATTCAGTCCACCCTTATCCTTCTTCTTGAACGTGATATTCGGCGGCTCCTTGTTGATCCTGATCCCAAACCCTTCCAACTCCGCCTCAATCACCCTCTTGTCCGTCAACGGCTTGTTCACATCCAGCACAATAAAGATCAAGTTGCACGTCTTCGCCACAGCAATAACCTGGCGACCTCTACCACGACCGTCCTTGGCACCCTCGATGATACCAGGCAAATCAATCATCTGCAGCGGCGCACCATTGTACACCACCTGACCCGGGACCGAGGTCAAGGTCGTGAACTCGTAGGCGGCCGCTTCCGAGTGCTGGCCGGTGAGATGGGACATGAGGGTTGATTTGCCGACCGAGGGGAAGCCGATGAAGCCGATGGAGGCGACACCGGTGCGGGCGACGTCGAAGCCGGCGCCGCCACCGCCGCCGCCGCCCGAGGGGGTGAGGAGCTCGCGTTTGAGTTTGGCGAGCTTGGCTTTGAGCTGACCGAGATGGTACGAGGTGGCCTTGTTCTTTTGGGTGCGAGCCATCTAGACAGGGGAGAAAATCATTCATGTAAGTCGTCGTGTTCGTGGGTCGTAATCTATGGAGATGTTAGATGGGATAGACATACTTCGAGCTCGACCTCCTTGATCTGTTTGCGCGCATCTTGGTTAGCTTGCCATGTATCCTGTGCTCTGGAGGGGGAGGTTGGCGCACCTTTTCCACTGTGGTCGACATGATTGCGGTGTTGTCTTCCTGGCGCGGAAGGACGGTCTCTCTGTGTCGATGTCCGGATTCGTTCTCTGATGACGGGCGTTTGTAGCCTCGCTCGTTACTCTGCGGTCCTTCACCAGAAGGTATTCCCAAGGTCGATGTCGTGGGGAATTTTGATGGTGGGGCAAAATTCAACAAGAGGGCCTGCCTGCCGCCCTTGGCACCGTCTCAATCGCCGCCTCCAGGCCTGTGCTTCAAGCTTGCGGGGCCATCTGATGTTACTGTGTGCCACTTGCTCAACAGAACTCAACAACTTCACTTCCCATCCTCATTATTCCTTTCCCATATTTGTTTTGTTTCATAGTTATAAGATTTCATATATGTACAGCACAACCCCAATGTCCTCCCTCATAATATAACATAGCACCGAATTGCATCGCCCTGGCAAACGTGCCCTATAAACCACAACTGCCTCTCTTTCCCATGTAAAATCACCGCCCAAAAACCCAAACCGACGACTCCATATACGCATATCTTGATGGCCGCCGCCTCCACATAACAACCATTCCATGAACATGATGATGAACATTGTACTCCCGACATGAGGCAAAGCTTGCTGCCAAATCAAGGGTATCTCCCGAAACTTCGTTGTTTAGTTGGTAAGGTGGGTGAAAAGATATGAGATCCAAGGCAAGCCATCCAATTCAACACGCATCAACTCTGAGCAAATCATCCTCCTCTCCCAAAAAGAAGCAATCAAGTGTACTGATATCCTGCTGTGTTGGATACGGTGACCATCTATACTGTGTCACCATTGACCAGCCCGTGGATGCCGTTGACCAGTGGGCGGGCCTGTGCTGGCCCCGATTCTGAGGATGGCGAAATTGGCTGGTTGGCAGCACCATTGGGGGCTGTCGCCATGGCCATTGTTGGTGACATGGCACCATCGATTGATTGAGCCATCAAGCGGGACGACGTGCTCGTGGGTGACGAGTGTACGCCGTTGGGAAGGAGGGGCGACTCTGCATTCTCCACAGACCCGTCTCCGCCGTTGTCCTTGAAGAACTGGTTATATGCTGGGTCATCCCGGGCTATGGCCGTAAGGCCGTGCCGAGGAATCCGCCGGCAACGGAAAGGAACTGGAGAAGTGCTTGCCTCCCTCAAGATCGGTTTGTCCTCGTGGAGGAGCTCGCCATTCATGTAATGCTTGCTTGTGGGCGCAAACCCTCCCAATATGTGTGCTTGAGGGTCACTTCTCCACTTTTGATGAACCACCCAATTGACGGGCTCAGCGTCCGGGTCTGGTAGTTCCAGATATGCCATCGAGAGTTTCACATTGCGAAGATGGTAGATGGTCGGGATGATGAACATGAAATCAGATGCCTGGTCCACGTTAGTATTTTTTGCACAAGATTGACACCGTGACGAGCTTACCTTGACGAAGAACATATCCATGGCCGAAAACTTCTCCCAAGCCTCATTCCGGAGCCGCTCTAGAGTGAGGTAGCCCATCTGCTCAGGGTCGTACCCTTCGTAGTAATCGGGGAGCTGCCTGCCGAGCTCATAGAGACTGGGTGTAGTCAGCGCATAACGGTCCGACTCCAGGCGCCAGATGATGCGCTTCGCGGTTTGCGAGACAGGGATCCGTGTCCATGCAGTATCTGTGTGCACTCGTTAGCAAATCTGCAGTCGTCATGTCACATGTCGAGCCAAGCACTTACATCGCGAGAGCTCCAAATCCTTCTCTCCCAGAAGAAGGGCCACTTGGGTGTTGAGAAGCCATTGCTCTCTGCCGTCCAAAGTGCCGTTGGCCTCGGGGCGGATGCAATCGTAGCGAACACCCTGCATGGTGCTGAATTTCTCGGCAACCTCTGGCAACTTGGGGTTGACGGCGCTTTCGAGCCAGCGCAAAAGTGGAGGGAGTTTGGCCAGACGAGCACGTTCTTGCTCAGCACGCAACCGCCGCTGTTCGGCCTCTCTGGCTGCACGCTCGGCACGCCTACGCTCCTCTTCACGAAGCACGCGCTCCTTGCGTTCATGCTCCTTGCGCTCCTCTTCCTCACGCTGCCGTCGGGCTTCTTCAGCAGCTTCACGCTCAACCTGCTCCCTCCGCAACCGCTCGTCCTCCTCCCGCTTCCTCCGCTCCTCTTCCTCTTTGCGCCTTCTCTCCTCTTCGGCCTTCTTCTCTTCTTCTCGTCGCTTGCGCTCTTCTTCTTCATGCCGACGTCGCTCCTCCTGTTCTCGTTGCTTACGTTCCTCTTCCTCGCGTTTTCTGCGTTCCTCGTCTTCTCTTCGTTGCTTTTCTTCGGCTTCTTTTCGTCGTTGCTCTTCCTGGGCTCGTTGTTGGGCTTCTGTCTCGGCACGACGCTTGGCCTCCTCTGCAAGGCGAGATCGTTCCTTTTCCCGTTCTCTTTCCTTCTCCTTCTCCTTTTCTTCTTCCTCTTTCCGTCTCTTATCTTCCTCCTTCCTTCTGGCTTCACGGGCTGCAATTTCAGCTTCGCCTAGTTTCTTCTTCTTCTCCTCCTCCTCCCTCCTCCGCTGTTGAGAAGGTTCCTTTGCGGGCGCATCAGCATCCGGCATCTCCACGTCTGGATCTTCGGACTTGACATGTATACTGTTATCGGAAGAGTTGGATTTCCCAGATTCTCTCCTAGCGTGTTCCTCCACCTTTTTGGGTTTGGGGGTGGGTTTTCTGTCGTCGTCATCCCGGGTCTTGGAGCTCATACGAGAGCCCGTCACAGATCCTGATGCAGATACCGTTTCGCGTGGCGCAGGCGCCTTCAAAAGCCTATCGTCAGAGGGGCTTGGCTTGGGCCGTTTCTCCTTGCCTTCTGGAACATCCAAGCGCCTTCTCTTAGCAGGCGCTTCACCGACGTCCTTCTCCATAATGCTAGGATGCGGCGGGGTGGCACTTGATCTGTACCGCTTACCAGGACTCTCACCTGAGACAGAGAGCCGATCACGAGACTCGTCCCTCTTAAGAGCCTTTGTCCGATCATGGTATTTCTCCGTTTTCGCCAACTTCTCAGGCTCATCCCTAGGACTAGACGGAATATTCATCGACGACGCATTAGAAGTTATGCTCTGCCGACGTTGTTGTTGTTGTTGTTGTTGTTGTTGTTGTTGTTGTTGTTGTTGTTGTTGTTGTTGTTGCTGCTGCTGCTGCTGCTGCTTGTCCTTGTGGTACTCCTTAGCGGTCATCAACTTCCGTCTTGGCTTAACAGCTTCACCCTCTGACGCAGAAACGGCCATATCAGACTCCACACGCTTGACTTTCGGAGCTCTTCCTGCAGGGGAGGCTTCGCGATCTGATATGGCGATGGTGGGTATCCGGTCATCCTTCTTGGGTCTGCCGGGACCACGTTTAGGCGAAGTTTGGTCGTCGGGGTGGGCGGGAAAAGAACCTGATCGAGGTTTTTCTCGTGGGCTGGCAGCAAGCTTGGACGTGGTGGATTTCTTGGGCTCCCGTGTAGGGCTGGAGGCTTTTCGCTTGTGGGACGACCGCGCAGCCGTTTCGTCTTTGACTTCAGCCCTATTTCGCCGAGCCTCCCTCTCCTGCTCTCGTCTGTTCGGGGATCGAGTCTTGGAGCCATCCTTGTGCGACTTTTTGTACTCATCATAGGCGTTCTTCAGAATGTGTTCCTCATCTCCCCAGTTCGGACCCTTCCTTCGCCGAGCAATCTCATAGTATGTCTCCCCTTTGTACCGTTTCGTGGGATCAAAGTCATTTTGGGCGAGCAGGAGTCGAATCACATTAAGGTTCTCTTGCCCAATCGCCGCCAGCATTGGTGTGGCATACTCGCTATTTTCCGCAGATGGAATGGGTGGAGGGTCGGGATTCGCTTTGCCGAGAGCCAGCAACAGCTGCATAACCATTTCATGACCGCCGCGTGCCGCCGCAACCATGGACTCTGGATCGTCGAAAGCCTCCCGAACCTGGAGGATGCGCGTAACCGTTTCCTCGTCACCACGGGCGGCTGCCAATCGGAGAGTCTTGTCGTCCATCGGCATGTAAAGTAAGTGATTGCTGGTCTTGTTCGCCCTGACGGTACCTGCCCTTCGCCCTCCGATGGCGTGGATGGAGCTGGAGGCACCAGGCGATCGTCGGGGACTTTCATTCCCATGCGACGACAAGGTATCGGGATGGTCCAAATGATGATCCTCCGAGGTGAGTCGACGATCGCCCATATTCTTCTTTGCTTCCTGCAAAGCCTTTCTGATCTCATCGGCATGTTCTGAATCTTCGTTGATCCTGGCGATAGGCTCCTCTCCATAAGCGTTAGCCTTTCGGGGATTGACGCCTGCCGCAAGCAGAATGTTGACGACTTCGAGATGTCCGTTTTCGACCGCATCGAGAAGTGGGGTGTCCTTTTCGTTGTTGAAACATTCCAGATTGCAGCCGGCATCTACCAAAAGTTTCACAATGTCGTCGTACCCATTCAGTGCTGCAATTTGAAGTGGCGTGTTCCCAGCATAATCGGCAACATTGATATCTTCGGGTCGGGCAGCGAGACGGGCCTTTGCATTCTCATACTCACCCTTGGCACAGGCCCTGGCCAGGTGGGTTTGACCGTGGGCGTCGAGGTGCTTTTTGTGGGGTGCCATCTTGGCGGGAGAGATGGTTGATTCAGCCGTCGCCGGGGTGGTTAGACTGCGCAGCTTGGAGCTGCGAGGGTGCGGGCTGCCGCTCACAGACGACTCGTCGGAGTGATAGTCGGTCGACTGGAGCGGCGCGGGAACCCGCTTTTTCTTTTGGCCGAGGCCGTTGGACGATGAGGCGGGAAGATGGGTTGAGATGCTACGGCGGTGAGAAGCTCGGGAGTGCGGTGATGGAGATCGAGTGCGAGTCGAGGTGTGGACCTCGTGATGGCTTGTTTTGGCCGAGGGAAGGTGTGGTTTGCGAGACGCGTCAAGGCCAGAGCCTGAAATTCGTTGTCGACGAACCTTGCGGCTTTCTCTTTCGTCGTCAGACTCGGGCTTGGGGGCCTTTCTCTTGTGAGGCACCAGCTTATCGGCAGCAGATTTTGGCAGCTTTTCTCTTGATGAAATTTTGGGAGAATCCACAGGTGCAGTTTCTGAATCCGACTTGGAGTGCGCATTCGAAGACCGACGACGACGCTGCTGAGGTGGAGACGCAGGCGCGGAGCTCAAACCGCTGGACCCGTCTTTCAATTTGGCCCTATCACCGGGATGCTTCTTCTTCCTGCCGACCAGCGCGGCGGCGCTATCGCTGGGTCCGCTGGGACCATTGCGGACAGCGGATGCGGACCTGCTTGGCTTTTCGGCACGGTCGGCCTTGTCGCCCCGGTCTTTTCTGTCTGCCCGGTCTGCTCTGTTGCTGTTGCTGTTGCTCTCACCTTCTCGGTCATGTTTCAGGGTGGAGGGCTTGCGATTGAGCGAGGGTGCGGCTGGGAGTGGAGCCTCTTCCCCATCGCTCTTGTCCTCGTGTTTGATGATCTTGCGTACCTTGGACGGTGAGTGTTGGCCATCTTTGCCGGGCAGGACAATGGTTTCGGCATCAGAGTTCCCATCGCCGGCATCGTCATCATGCAAGTGAGAGTGGGAATAAGTATGTGAGGTATGTTGGTGTTGGGAATGTGATTGCGAGCCGGTCGCACTCGGCCTACTGCTGCTGCTGTGGTGGTCCCTGTTGTCCTTGACGGACAGCTCGGGTTTGGCGATCTGGGACAACTTGGTCACGGCGGAGGACCTGGGTTGGTCGGCGTCGGTTCCTGTTGCCAGGCGCTTGGGAGAAGCAGCAGGCTTCGTGGAGGCGGGCTCGACAGCATTCTGCGCATCCATGTCATTTAATTCGAAAAACAAGAGCCGCTGTGCACCATCCTGGTCGCTGGGTGGCCCGGGAATTCGATCGAGAGGGCAGCAGGAGCGCGTGGTGATTGAATCAGGATGTCGACAATGATGCGACAGAATAGAGTAATGTTCTTCGCAAAGAAAATGCAGACTGCAGCGCAGAGCAAGGTGACTGAACACTGAGCCAGTGGCAGCTGGAGGTGAGTGTAGAGGCGGGTCAAAAAGTGACACACGAGATAGAAACGAATCAAACGACCACCACGGCTCGCGGGATTGGATAAGGTTCCAAGATTAGGCTAGGGGGCTTTATGGGATGGAGATGGGCGCGCCGGTGGGAAGTTGCGCGCGGGTTGGCGATGGGTGAAAGCGCGAGCGTGAACGTGAGCGTGAGCGTGTGTTTGGTGAAAGGAGACGGTCCTCACCAAGGAACGGGAAACGATGGATGGATGGATGGATGGCAGGATGGCAGGATGGCAGCAGCACCAGGCCAGCAGCAGAATGGAGCGTACCTAGTAAAGCACCCACTGGCACCTCAGCCAAGAGCGAACCACTCAGCACTCAGCAAGGCCCAGCACCTGGAATAGGCGGGAAGTTGGAGATTCCCAGATCAAAGTCTGATCGCCACCGTGCTGATTGGCCCTGTTGTGTCCTACCACCGTCGTCTGCTTAATCCCTGGAGACAATGCTTTTTCCGACGCGTTCGACCAGGGTGCCGTGGGTGCCAGTTGGGTGTGTTCCAAGCCTTCAACAGGGCAGCCTGGACTGAGCTCAATTGTCGAGAAGGCCGCAATCTCCCCCATTTTTTTATGTGGGTTGTTTTGTCACGACTGTTTCTGAAAATAACAAGAAATATCAAGGTACACCGCTATCCTGTCAAGCCTGGGCTATCCATTTGAGTGTTTAAACGTTGATCTGTTGCCTCTTCCAGGTAGCGGCCGTATCACCGTCTGTTGCCTGATGACTCCCCTCCTTTTCAGTGCAGATACCGTGTACCTACAAGAATCAAAAGGGCCTCGAAAAAGCTCGCCGCCTCCCCGGGCTTTTTTGCCCTGCATTAGTTGGACCTTTGGGGTCAGCGCCAAGGCCCGTAGATTCAACATTGAGCGGCCTTGTGCATGTAGGTCATTCTGGACCTTTTTGTGCAGCGACGGCACCACTTGTGAACTGGCCCCCCGTCATGTTTCACAGACGCCGTTCCCGAACGCTGTGCAGTCCCTTCGTGCTTCACTGTTTCCCCTCTTTTTCTCTTTGTTGACCCCTCCCGCCTGGTTCAGAATTTGTCGCCCTTCAACAAAACTCACCCCAAAGCAGGGCCCCTCAATTTAGCTTTGGGAGGCCGCTCTACATAATCTTTCTGTCAGACTTTTTCCTTTTTTCTCAACCACTCAAGCCCACCACTCACCGCTGCTGAGCTGCTTCGCCTCTTCGGCTGGCCCGTTTGGCCATCCTCGCATAAGACAGACCTCTCGGACAAGCGGGGAAAGGGCAAGGCTCTCAGACAGGCTAACCACCATGGAACACAACGACACCTCTTCTGCTTCTTCTTCTCGACCCCTCGACCTGCCACACACCCTCGAGGACAAGAAGATCAAGGCCCTTCCACCCGCCTGCTACTACATCTCAGATTTCATCACCGAAGAAGAGGAAAAGGCGATCTTGGACAAGGTAATAATGTGCCCAGTTTGATTCGGGCCCCCCACCTCGTTGCCTCTAATCGCGAACATACAAAAAGGTCAATACAGCTCCGAAAGCGAGATGGCGACAACTCACTCATAGGCGCCTCCAAACATGGCCATCCGATCTCGTCAAAAACACCCTTCTCGATGCCCGGCCACTCCCCGACTGGCTCGAACAACCCGTCGTCGCACGTCTCCTCTCGATCCCACTATCCGACAGCCAACCCGAGAACATGTTTCATGACAGCCCTCACCAACGACCAAACCATGTCCTGATCAACGAATACCCCCCAAACACCGGCATCATGCCACACAAGGACGGCGGCGCCTACCACCCCGTCGTTTGCACCGTGAGTCTCGGTTCTGCCCTCTGCTTGAACCTGTACAAGAGCAAGGAAGACGGCGCTTTAGACCTGGAGCCTGTCTGGCGCATCCTCCAAGAGCCCCGGAGTCTCTTGATCACAACCGCGGATCTCTACACAGAGTATCTCCATGGCATCGAGCCTATCGCAACCGATGTAGAGTTGTCGGAGAAGACGATTGTGAACTGGGACCTCTTGCGTTCTCCAGAGCTATACAAAGACGGCCTGAACCAGCGGCGGACACGTATCAGCCTGACGTATCGGGATGTGCTCAAAGTCTCCAAACTGGGAAATAAGCTGGGACCGATGTTTAAGTGTCCCTGAGAAAACACCGGCCAGGTACTGAATTTCCGGACTCGGCCGAGGCAGATGGGCCACTTTGATGCTGAACAAAATTGACGGGAACCAAGGCCGAATTCTTGGGTCGAAAAAGCTCCTCACGTGTTGTCCGTGTTGCTATGAATGATGGTGAACTTTTTTGATGTGGTAATCGTTTCTTAACGCTGCCGTGCTTGCCCTCCACTACCATCCACTTAAAACACAAACGGAATCATATTCCACCTCCCCTCCACCGCCCCTTTCCCAAACTTTTCTTCATACCACCTCCTCGTTCCAGAAGCTGTAACGCCAAGGTTAACCACCACAAAAGCCAACGCGCACACCAGCGTCCTGTTGAACCAAACCCCCTCCGGAGCCGTAGCCACAGCCATAGACAAGTACAGCAAACACTCGCAAGTGTAATGAGCGCAGACGAACCATCTGAACAGTCCCTCAGTAGGCAGTGAATATTTCTTCAGTCCAGCCAAATGTTTGTGAGATTTGTACTGGTTGACCCAGGCGTAGAAGAACACCGGGACCGCAACACCAAGCTTAACCATCTCCTCCCTGCTCAACTCTAATGTTCGCCGATTCAAGATAGCATCTATCATCATTGTCAGCACACACACATCTTTCTCCTTCACTATGAAAAAGAAAAAACTCACCCGCCCCCCCAACCCCAACCCCCACCCCAACCCCCAAGTAAAACCCCAACCCAAGCACCCAGTGAACAACCCACATCGTCGACGTGCTCGAAGCCCTCACCACAAACAAGTGTTCGCACGTCCTCCTCGCCCCCTGGAGGAACATCATCGCCCACCCGGCCAGCACTTGCACCGACCCCATCCCTTTCCCGTTCCCTCCATATTCCATTTCTTGCTCTGCAATGAACTTGATGACCTGTCCACCGGAGAGGAACTGCCCCAGCCAAAACACCGACCAGGCCACTGACACAACGTAAAAGATTGCAAACCACGAGTGCGGGACCTGGGTGTGTTTCGTCAGGGTTGACAGCCATGACAACACGGCGTTGTTGCTGGGTTTTGGTGAAGATGCCCGGGCGCCATAGTCGACGAGGATTTGCTTGAGGTCTGAAGGGAGGACTGCAATCGCCGAGACGGCTGCTGCGGCGAAGAGGAAGAAGGATTGGCAGTACTGAGATGGGGGTATTGTTGAAAGGATGCTGTAGAGGGTGGAGATGGTTTGGGATATCATTTTGCTTGTTGTTGTCGCTGTTGTTGACATGATGATGTTGAAGGATAGACGTGGTCTTGGTGTTGACGTTGGTTGGAGATGTGGACCGTGTGCCAAGACAGATGGGTTAGGGGGGAGGCAACAACATAGTATTCAACTCCAGACTATCAGCACTACAATCTCAATCGACATGCCAGACTTTAACAGTCAGTCAAAATCCCTGAGGGTCGCGTAACAAGAAACCAGCAAGAAAAAAAACCAAGGCTGAAAAAAATGAACCATCACCTCTCTCACACCTAGTTATCACATCTAGCATCTAGAAGGGGGGGTTGACTTACTTGATAAGTTCCATTAGCCCTTACGGTACTTCTGGTACTTATGGTGATCAATGCTTAATTAAATAATGTTGGACAAGTAAAGTTAGATGGTGGATTGGCAGATTGAAGACCGACCAACGGTCACTCAGAGGTGACCGCAAGCCGGGATAAGATGTCCAGCGGGATAACTCCGTATTTAGTACACCCAGATGCTGTGAATCAATGGTAACAATTTGGTTTGGTAAACACAACCGTGTATGTCACCACCGTGGAGATTCTCCCCATAGTTGGGTTGAACACTTCACTTTTTGGAGGAGGAAATCTACTCAAATATGTTAGTGATTAGCAAGGTGTGACCTGACCACTAGGTCATGAGAGAAGTTTCTGGTTTTATTTGTTGAATTCGAGAGGCAGGAAGTAGTATTAAATGGGGGGATTACTGTCGGAGCAAGGAGCGAGGAGGTAAGCAAGCTGGGGCGGTAGGTATAACTCTCCCAGAGACCACGGGACAGAGGGAAGGAGCTATGAAGATGGTGATGATTGGAACGAAGCTCTATCAAGTTACTGGTAAATCTGTGAGAGAGTACAGCATCAAAAGGTTCACAGATAGCTTAGAGTAATCAAATCAAAACAAACCAACAGAGAGAGAGAAAGACTAAAAAGAAAATTGAACCATCACCTCTCTCACACCCAGCTGTCACATTTAGAGAAGGAGATTTCATTTACGTCTTTCTGGGCTTTCGCCCAACTCAATGTTCCTCCCCCATCTGGGTTTGGATTGGGGCTTACGCCCAGTACAGGCAATCCTCTTCCATTGGAATTGGAAGCTCATTTGCGTTTCCGCCATGATGTTGATTGCACTCCTTGAGGAGGCATGAATTCTGCTGCTTGATACTCATAAGGGGCATGTTATCTCTGTCGAGATCCGAGTGAACGGGTCGACGATTGTGCCGTGATACTCGCAATGAGCATGTTGTCTCTGTCGAGATCCAAGTGAATGGGTCGACAATTGTTGTTATGTTCTCCCTATGTCTGGGTCGAATGCTATCGAGCACTAAATCAATGGGTCGACGTTTCTTGTCATGTTTTCTCCACGTCTGGGTTGGACTGCGTACCTCTTCGAGGTTTGATTTACCTAAGTTTGTTAGTAATTGGTGAGGTGTGACCTGACCACTAGGCTATGAGAGCAGCTTCCGGTTCTGTTTTGTTGAAATGTGGAGTGCAGGAAGAGGTATATAAGGCATGGTGGGAGTTGCTCCGGAATTAAGGAGCAAGCGTGGAAGCAAGCTGGGCAGCAAACACGACCAATTGAGGTGAAGGAGGACCTGGTTCTACCTACACACAGAGCATTGACAGGTTGACAGTTGGAATAGTTAAGACTAATCAGAACACCGAGAAAGGTATTATAACTCGTCAATTATACAGCCTACAAAATCTCACCGTCTCCTCTAGAAATATAAACTGCCACATGTGTTCTTGCTGGTACCGTTGCTCCTCTATCAAACCAACCATGATTGCAATGCAAAAACACAAAAGTCTAAAGTAACAACTTCCCCGCCGCCCGACGTCCCGACTTGAAATCCTCCTCCGTATCACCCCCATCAATGTTCATGTTTCTCTGCCCCCCACCCGGCATTGTCTCCCCATCAGTCAACCCCCCATCCACATCCGTAGTCTCATCCTCCGTCGCCGTGAGATTGCCGTCGTCATTGCGCCGCCTCTGCTTCTGGCGATCAAGCAGCCGGTTCAAATCATCATCACTCAACAAACTATCAACACTGCCCCGCCTCTCCGGCACAGTCTTGCCTTCGTCATTGGCAACAGAGGCATCAAACCCAGGCCTGTTCTCCCTCCTGCCTCGCTCCACCAGCCTCTCCACTCTCAAACGGTTGGCAACAAACTTGATCTTGGGAAAAGCGCTCTGCTGCCCTTCGTGGATCATGCGCGCTAGCTTGGCCTCGTCAGGATCGCTCAAGATGCCAAAGAAATCCGTGACCTTGGCGTTGGGCCAGATGGTGACTGTTCCCCCAAAGGTCTGCAACCACAGCATCGACCAGTCCTGTCCCAACGGCCGCGGTAGCAACTCCAACTGCCTCAACACCCTGAGCCATTTTGTCAGGTCCAGCTTGATATACTGCTCCACGGCCGAGCCAAGGTACCCTCCTCTCCAGCCCCGTCCCCTACGATGCGTCACGGGCTGGCCAACCGAACCTCTCGACGAGAAGAAGAACAGGTTGATGTGGGGGTTAACCTGGCTGACAATGGTAAAGTTGACGTTGAAGTGAAGATTAAGCGCCTTGATTGGGATGTCCGTTCTCAAACTGCCATCCTTCCACTTGTGGCCAAAAGAGTACGGCACTAGCTTGCCCTCTCTCGTCTTCATCATCAGCACCACTGGGTTCAGAATACCCGGGACCGCTGCTGATGCAATCACGGCACTCCAGATTACACAGTCCGGACTGGTCAGGTAGTTGCACAGGATCGTCGGACTGTGAGGATCAGCCGGCACGCAGCTCACATTCAACACCCTGCCCGTTCGTTCATACGCCTCCTTGAACGTCATCGACCCCCTCGACCACCAAGAGCACTGCTGAGCCCAGTCGACACTATCAAACCTGGCCCCCGTCTTCCACCACCTCTTGAACCAAACCGTGATCGGCTCCCTACAAGCCGTGATTTTGTGCGCCAACGCCGGCACAAGCAGCTGCTTCAGCTCCTCATTCGTCCTAGTCGCCACCAATGCAGCAACCAACGCACCACCCGACGTCCCCGTGATGATATCCGGCAACTTGTCCTCCTCCAACAACGCCTTCACCACCCCGAAATGATGATACGCAAACGTCGCCCCACCGCTCAAACACAACGCCGTCCTTCCATAGTTCGCACTAATCCCCTTAAACAACCCCCTCTTCTCCTCCTTACTCATCAACTCCGTATTTAACAAAAACTTCATACTCCTCTCCACCTCATCCACAAAATTCTGCACCAAATTCTTCGTCCCATAATACGTCTGACTATACAACCTCGGATTCTCCACCCCCACAAAATTATTCTTGACACAAGCCCCCATCAACTGCTTCAACTCCTCCACCGCCTCCCTCCCCCGTTTCTCATCCCCCCCATCTGTCGCCCTCTCGGCCTTCTCCCTCGACCTCCTCATCTCCTCCCACACCCTCTTCACCGTCTTCGCATCATAATAGGCAAACTCATCCTGCTCCTTCCACTGCTCCGCCACCCCAAAGTAGTCATCCATCTTCCTCGCCGCCGCCACCCACTGCTTGTAATTCCCCGTCGCCCTCATCGCCCGCCTCAACTTCTCCCTCTTCCCCCTCCACGCAACAAACTGCTCATACAAATAAATATACGACCTCGTCGCCAGATACGCAACCGACAGCCCCAACAACCACGTCCCCACAATCAACAAAAAAGGCCACTTCAACAACTGATACAAGTGCCCCTCCCTAGTCTCATCCTTACTCCTCCCCCCAAAAAACAAACACAACGACAAAACTATATAATAATCAACACATTTAA